TAATTGGTTTTAGCTCATGAGCACATTTAACAAATAAACTTTCAGAAATATATTTCAAGAAAATATTATATACCCTATCCTACAATACAGCCCACAATGTGATCATGACTCATTCCCCAGCAAGACAAGGAGTCTAATTCATCTTTCTTGAGCTCTGCCCTTGTCATTTGTTTGGAGCCATTAAAATGTGGCAAGGATGGTACTGTATGACTTCCAAGACTGTGACATAAAGGACGATGAAGTGCCCACGTGGTATGATTGTCTTGAAACTTTCCCTCTGGAGGTCATCTGCTGACATAGAGGTGAACAACCTGCCCTGAGACAGGCATGCTGATGAGGCTTCATTTGAAATTCTCAGCAGAGAGCCTCAACCGAAAACCATCACTACACATCTCCAACACTGGCCACATGAATATTGAGTGAGACACTGGGAATGTCCAGCACAGTTGAAGCTTGTAACTGTAACTACAGGCAGCATTTAAGAGCTGGCACATTAGGGACTCCAAAAAGTATCCACTCAGCTAAGCTTTAATTTTTGATCTGGATGGTGTTGGACAAAAGAAATGGCTTCTTTTTAATAAGAGTTGGAGGCATTTATTTTAAAATAAATTATGAGAAAATTTAATACCATATGGTCAGTGCTTACTAAATTGTAATTGGAACTATGTTTACCAGGCAGTTAAAACTTTTCATGGACTTGGTGCATCTATTCCATGGGGAAGAAATCTCTTCTGTCATACCTCTCTCAGGTTATTCAACTTTGTTATTTCTTGCTACAACAAGTGAGGAAAGGTCAGGCCAATTAATGCAAAGATTCAAATGAGATACATTTTTCTTACCTTTTTCTTTTGTGTGTGTATATGTTCATGCAGGCTTATGTTTAAGTGTGTGTGTATGTGTGAGTATGTGTGCGTGTGTGTGTGTGTGTGTGTGTGTGTGTGTGTGTGTGTGTGTGTGTGTGTGTTCAGGCCAAAAGAGACAACCTCAGGTTTTTTTCCTCTGGTACCATCAAACTGTGCTTTGTCTTTTATTTTGTTTGTTTTTTTTCTCTTTTACAGGCAGTGTCTCTCACAGACCTGGAACTTACCATTTTGGCTAGGGTGTCTCGTCAGTGAACTTATCTGTGCTTTCCTAGAACTGGGATTACAAATCCACTGTGATAACTAACATGAACTAACACATATGCCATTTTTTATGTGGGTTCGGAGATGCAAACTCAGGTCCTTGTGCTTGTATAATGAACATTTTATTCACTATACTATCCTGAGCACCCATCTTTTCTGTCCTTAGTAAGGACACTCCCACAGAGATCACAAATTATTGTTCTCCCCCATGGCAGCAAACTTAGTATTTTCCCCCATAAAGGAGATATAGAAGAACTAATGTTACCAAGGACTATATATGGTACATTTATTTAATTTTTGAATTCAGTATAAAACATTCAGTTACATGTAACTACAACCAATGAGACAGTCTATCTCCATTAATATAATTTGTCTTGTATGGTAAGAATAGATGTAGGCCAGTAAAATAAGGTTAGTTGATACTCTCCTTTTAAAAATCTGGAACCTAGGGCTGGAGAGATGGCTCAGTGGTTAAGAGCACTTGGCTGCTCTTGAAAAGGACCCAGGTTCAATTCACAGTAACCACATGACTGCTAACAGCCATCTGTAACTCCAGTACAGGGGAATTCGACAGCCTTTTCTGGCCTCTTTGGGCATTGCATGACATGGGTGCACATACCATGCAAGCCATATACTTATACACATAAAAAAATAAATAAAAGTTTGCAACCTGGTCATGTTGTTGAACAAAATTATTAGGCTGAATCCCAAAACACTGAAGACATTTCACTAATTATCACGTTCTCATTGCAATTTCATCAAAGCCTTTATTTTGCAGTTGCTATACTTTCCAAGTCCACATTAGGGGCTTAACTAATTGTTGAGAGTATTTTCCTGTTGAAAGGATTCATTCTTAAATTAAATCTTGACCTAGAGTTAATAAGTTGAAACCTGTGTGCTAAGAATCAAGTGATGAATATATTAAATATTTTAGGCACTGAATAAACAATACTGAATTAACCTTCAAGATTGAGAATATGGACTCTGTTTATAACATTATCCCCTAGTGTCTCTTATGAAAAATTCAGTATCACATCACTTTCCATAACAGAAGTGACATGATCCCAATCTAACATGCAAGATTTAATTTTAAATCAAACCATGAGTGTCAAACATTAGAGACGATTGCTATTCACAATTCACTAAGTATAAAAGTAGCAAGATTGAGTACATCGTTTTAAATAACATGAAAAAATGAAAAAAAAAACCTCTATTTTCTACATAGGTGAGTGTATTAACATGTGCTTTATAAGACAGTTTTCATTTTTCTTATGAGTATAAGGGATATAGAAGTATTACTATGAACACTGTAAACATGAAAAAATCTTACTTAGTAATTCAAATAATATTGACAAAGTTGAACTAGATGGTTTTCAAAAATTGGAACTGCCTTTTTAAGATCTCAGTTTAATACTGAAATCTGTGCAATTTTTTTGTTGAAGAAACTAGGAATACTTGTAGTAAAGGCACACACTGGTATTCAGAAAATAAGATAGGCATTTTATAATATTATAAGAGAAATGTCACTAAAAAATAAAAAAAAATCTTAAGCTCTTTGCTCACTGTATAAAATTGGCCAAATATTTATGTTTTCATAAATGATTTCTTGAATACAAACTAAGTCAAATTCTTCAAGACAGATATCCTTTAACTAAAGGACATTGCTATTCACAGCTGCTAAGAAAAAAATTATATGTGGCATTTTTGGAGTGGCCTAGAGCATGGCTCCTAGAATAATGATGGGAAGATAGGTTTCCTCCATCCACACTGGCATGTGCACTGACTGATGTTGTCATCATGCTGGTCTTATTTAGGCAACCACATGGTTGAAGCCTCGTAGATACAGCTTCCCATTCACGCCTCTGTCTATGCTAGATAGAAGACATGGTCTAGCACACGTGTGCTAGTTATCTGGCTCTTATAATATTTCCATCCTTTGCATTGTGCCTGAGCCTTAAGTGACTCTGGTTCCTTGGTAATACTTTACTGGTGAAATAACTGAGCATAAACTTGCTTTTAGTATTTACATATAAGAACATGAATTAAGGGTACTCAATAATATTGAATAGAAAATTTATAGGAATTTTTAGATAGAAAAATAACAGGATAGGAGAGCATTAGACATAGGAAGAGAGAGCTAAGAATAACAAGGAATGAAAATAAGTGTTCAGATAACCCATGGAAAAGATAAATTGGACTACAAAACAAGTTTCTGCAAGTTTACATCTGATTTTCTAATTTACTCAAATTTAACTCTTTCATATGGCAATGTGCCATACCAATCCCTAATGTTTTTTTTAACAGTATGAAATTTTAATGAATTTTTAGGCATTTCATACATTACATCTTGATCATATTTTGGGTCCCCTATCTTTACACCCCCCCTTAACCCCCCCGTGCTGTATTTCATGCATTCTGTCAAAGATGTTAAGGCCTGTAGGATCATGTTTGTGAGCCTAGTATTTTAATAAAATATCAAATGGTAAAATTTCCTTCAACTACCAAAAGACTACAATGATAGTCACAACGGTAACTATACTTTGAAGTAAATATATAAAATAAACCTAACAAAGTTGTGTAATTATTACCCCCCTATATATAGTTTCATAAAAAAATGCCATCAAGAAGACAAAGGACTGACCAAAAGGGAACACATATTTTTTCAAAGGAAAAATGGGCAAAATTGATACATTTTGGGGGGAGTCTTTTTGAGACAGGGTCTCCCTGTGGCCTCAGCTGTCCTGGAACTCACGATGTAGACCAGGCTGGCCTTGAACTCACAGAGATCCGCCTAACTCTTTCTCCCAAGTGCTGGGATTAAAGGCATGTCCTACCACACCAGGCTGATTGATATATTTTTATGGGGTCAAATTATGTTTCTCATACCTTGCTGAAAACAATGATTAGTTGGAATGAAAGTACATTTACATAAAGTTTCACATTTGCTAACTATCACATTACTAAGTTAAGATATATATATCCATTTTGTATATATTAATTTAAATTAACAATACTTACAAAGTTAAGTATAAGTCTTATTTTACAATATTTATAGAAGTTAAACATCACTTCCACTAGTACCACTACATCTTTGTTTTACATTCTTTTGCTGTTTTATGTGTATACTCAGGGTTTAACATCAGTGATTAATATGGAGTGCAATATGCTATGATTTATTTATTTATGAGTAACTTCAATTCATTCTGGTGAAAGATTATCAAAATGCTATGTCTGTACTGATATCCTCTTGTTATAGTTTGCCTTAAAGGAAAACACAATACTGTGCATAAAGACATGTCTGAAGAGTAAAACCAAGTTTGATCCATCGTTTTTAAAATCTAAACATTTTATTTATATAGAGAAGGTTGAAATTAAACTGTAAATAACTTATTGTAGATTTTCAATGTATGTACCAAAAGTATGTGGGTGTAACTTTATGAATAATAGCAATAACTTAAAATTTTGCAATTTAGTGAAATATATTTAGTTGCTATTGACTTGCGTTTTCTTCTCTAAAGCCATATTTGCTCTTATTTTGCGGTATTCTTTAAAGAAATGAAAGTTTTTTTATTTAGTTATTATTTTTATTTTATGTGTGTCGAGTGTATTGCCTGCACTTATGTGAGGCCACCTGAGTCAGGCAATGACTGCAGAGGTCTGATGAGGGTGGCAAATCCCCTGGAACTGGAGGTAAGGATGGTTGTTAGCTGCCAGTTGGGTGCTGGAACTGGAACCAGGGTCCTCTGCAAGATCAGCCACTACAGTGAACTATTAAGCCATCTCTAAAGTCCCAAAGTTTATTTGTACAAGTTACTTGCTAAATAATAGACTTATGTTCATTTATCAATATTCAAAATCTGGAAATGTTATTGTTACCTTATCGCCTTCAGAGAATGTGACGCCATCCACAGCTCTTTTCCACGTTATTTCTGGTACAGGTTCACCTTCAGCTTCACAAGTGAGTGTGACATGACCGTTCTCAGATGTAGTCTCATTTTTAAGTTGTATTATATGAGGCTGTACTGTAAAAATGTATATATTACTCTATTGGTATTGGACCAGACTGATTACTATTCACACTGAAAATCCATGGTAGACAAATAACTACACATTAGCTCAGTACGAGGTGACTAACCCCACAGCAGCTACAGCAGCGTGCTGTACAGAAGTACCATGGAAACTGAAATGAAAATGGGAAAAATGGATTTGGAATAAAATGTTCATCTATTTATATTAAAATAATTATTTGAGATATTTACAAATCAGCATAAAATTATAATTTCTTTTAAAATTTGCCAAATTAACATATATCTTATTCTATTCACTTCTTAAAAACCACAAAATTAAAATTCCTTTTCCTAAACCACATATATGATGTAGAGGCATATGTAAGTTTAGAAACATTTATGAGATAAAGTGATATTCATCGTTTTGTACATATTATAACATTTGATTTACTGTGATATCAATTTGGTTTAGCAATCATTAGACATTAAGCTATTTCTTTACAAGTACAAATCCTATAGTACTCTAAGTATGTATATTGTTTTAAATTTTATTTATAATAAAATATATATCCCTCTACAATTTAAATAAAGGCTCAGTGCTTTAAATTTTGTAGTTTGTATTTTCTGTGTTTTTATTTTTTGCCTGTTTAAATCTAAAACCGATAAGCTTCTGATTGCCAGCTCTTATGCCATTGTAAGTAACTTTCTTTAACTTTTCAATACAGATATTTAAGGAATATAAATACGTTCTTCTTAAGCTCAAAAAATAAGATATCTGATTCCAGAACATGACATATAAAATGTTCATAATTTTAATATTGCATTCCATTTCCCTTTCGTGGATATACATGAATTTGGATCAAAAGAAACACAAATTTTCAATGTTGCTGCACCAAGTGGTCACAAGATGGAGTAATGCAATGTTATATATTATTAGTTTCAATTTCACTTTATGATAGTATCAGAAAGGTTCATACATCTATTTGTTCTCACACTTTGACACCTTAATTAGAAAGAAATGCCAAAAGAGTATCTCATATGAGCTCAAGAGATTGGAAAATTGAGACCATCTCTCCTCTGGAATTATGTGATATGCACTACCACGTCTAATTAATTGGTTACACTGAGGGATTATTTTTAGTTTTGCAAGTTTGAAAGGAGATATTTTAAGTGAAATAAATGACTAGAATTAGTTAAGCACTGCTTGTAAGTTCTAACAGTTTCAAGTTTATTTTATTTTTTTTCATTTTATGTGAACAATAGTCTTCAGGCTTTTGTCCACACCTCATCACTGCACACTGATGTAAGCATCATTTTAGCATTAGCATTCTTAGACGTTTCAAGACCACGTTGACTTAAGTGATATTCTTTATTCAAAGCTAACTAATTTATTCAGTTTCATGTTCTTCTTAGATCATGTTATTATTCAAATTACTTTCTTATGCATTTTCTTAAAATTTCATATCATTCCACTTGAATATAAACATTCTGAAGATCTCTATCACTTAGTACATGCTTTTGTACAGTCATGTACTGCTGACAAGGCAGTCATCAGAGTGCAAAAGGTGTTATCATTAACCTTGTGCTCAATGTAAGGAGAACATCTCCACCAGGTAGTGGGATCATGGACCTGAGTAGTCACATATTTCACATACCTTCTTTTTACTTATCTTTACTGTGAAAGAGTTTTATTTCAATGTACATAAAACTAAAACATGAAATTTACCAAATGATAGAATATGTATAATTTTCAATGTAACATTGTAAACAATTGTTGTAAGCATAATGAAAGTCAAATCAATATTTATAAAGTAATAGTATGTGTGCTCAGCAAGCTCCCTAAAGTATGCAATATGTCTTTTGCTCTATGTGGATTGTATTTATATTATAATTTATTTTAAAATAATTACAAAAGACTAATATTGTTAAATTAGAGCCCCATCGATGAAAAAAACTTGAATAATACCAAATACAGAGTGAATCCCAATATATGTCAATTAGAGATTTATGAAGATAAATGTTCATAGAGATATAAGATAGTACACAGTTCACTGGATATAATTTAAATAAGTTCTATTTCAACTTCTGTTATCTGTTAGTAAATAGCCTACAAAAGTGTCTATGTAATTTTATGTAGTTCTTAAGAAAACTCAGTTAAAATATTGTATATTGTACGAATATTGTTGAGATCAGAAAATGGAGGTCTGACTATGGAAAGATCAAAAGTTTTTATCTCTACTGACTGAGTAAAAATTGAGACCTCCTTCTGAATATTGCATTTTGACCAGTGTGTTATAAAACTTACCAAAGACTTGAAGGAATGCTTGTTTTTCATCTTCTCCTGCCTTATTTGTGGCTCTGCAGACATAATGGCCCCCATCACTATTGGCTATGTTCCTAACAGTGAGCTCTGTATTACTGCTCTTTAATATGTACTTTTCATTTTCTTCAATGAGCTTGCCATTCCTAAAGAAGAAAATAAACAAAGTTGTTCTTCACAGTCGAAGTTCATAAGTAGGGTATCCCAATCATTTTTTTTATCTGTAGGCTTCAAATATTTCATAGCTAGCAAGGGGTATTGATCAATAATGCCACAGTTCAATCAAATGTACAATTTATTAGTCAAGCCCCTTAATGCAGGCATATGAAAATTAAGCTTGAAATTTGTCTTGAATTCAGAGACAAGAATACCATTTATTTGAGGTTGAAAAGCTTAGTATTAATAAACTAATAAAAATACTTGAGTATAGTTTGTAGCTTTTTTTAAACAGATGATATTTATTTTTATTCAATTTACCTTTGAACACCAATTATTCAACATATGTTTATGTTCCCACTTGAAACACATCAAAACATGTTTTTTGAGACAGGTTCCCCCTTTAACCCCAGCTGGTCTGTTACTATGCATGTAGAACAGGCTGGATTGGGTCTCCAAGAGATCCACCTGCCTCTGCCTTCTGAGTTCTGGGATTAAAGCTGTACCACCACACCTGGCATAAAAACAGTTTCTACCAAAAACTTCTTTAATTTCAAATTAAATAACATAAATACATAATGAATTTCTACTGCATAAATGTACTACCAATAAAATATTATGAGTGTGAAAAGATAAATCTTGTTTCTTTATAGATAAAGATAATAATTTTCAATATCTTCCAAATTCTTTTTACAGTGAAATGCCTTTCCATGGGAACTTGGGTAAATTTCAATTATTTTGGCTATTAACACTTTTTTCTATTTTATTTTAACTTTCATTAAATATTTTATTCAGTTTCACAATGCATATGTTAAAAATGAATTTGTATATTTCCCTTTACTTATACTTGTTTTCATTTCCTTTTATCATTTCTTTGTCTTATGCTTTTGTTCTTTAGCTTCTGCTTTTCTTTATGATTCTAAATTTGAGGACCGAATTGCTCCCAGGACATATTAATGTAAAACGCTCAGAATACGCTGTTGGTAGAAACATTAACTTCATATAATTTTGTTTTAATAAAATAATCTCTAAATGATTATTTTAAAATCTTTCCATCAAGGAAATATAGAATATCTCTGATACACCAAAAAACTTTTCCAGGGAATTCTGTTCATGATTTAGAAAGAGAAAAGACATATATCTAATATGGTTATACTTCTAATACTCACTGGCTTCACTTAATTAGCTAATTTATTTTTTAAATGTGTATGAGTGTTCTATATGTATGTATACAAGTGTACCACATGCTTGCAATGCCTGTGGATTCCAGAAGAGGGTGTGAATTCTCCTGGAAGTGGAGTTAATAGGATCTCAATAATGTAGCCCTGAATGACCTGAAGTCACTATGTAGGCCAGTCTGGCCTCAAACTCATAGCAATCGTCCTGCCTCTACCGCCTGAGAGCTGAGATTGAAGGCTGTGCCACCATGTCTGGCATGCAATGTATTCTTCTAGTTCAGTTTTTCTTGACAAATATAAATATATCAAAACTATGCCAAAATTTCCTGGGTAGAGTATTATAAAAATTGGGAATATAAAATATTAGCAATAATGAATACATAATATTCTATAGTTTTCTATGTAACTTTGATATTTTTACTAATTGAGACCTAAATAATTAAATTTTTAAAATTTATGTGTGGACTTTCTCCTTCATTTACAGTTCAATGATACCACGCACCACACACACACACACACACACACACACACACACACACACACATGAGAAATCTACACTAATAAAATCTGAGTACTAATCAAATTCAAATGTTAAATGTTCTTTTTTTCTTCTTTCTAGAGTTACTTCCTTACTCCTTGGAAAATACTGTGCTAGTTTTTGAAGAGGAGCAAGTATTAGGCAACTCTCATGAAAAATCTAGGTCTAGAAGAGAGTAGTAGAGACAAAAACAGATCCCAACACAAATCAATTTGTAACATTAGAATGATTAGTCTGCTATCCTTGGAGGGACTGGAAAGAAACATGGTGATGTATGACTTGGACTTTGGAGAGGAGAGGTATTTGATTTGATTTTTCAATGGAAAAAGTAGCTCCTGAGGAGATTCGTAGGAAATTTATGTGTAGATACTGAGTTTCTTTCAGGAGTTCAAATAAAAATGTACACTGAAGATACATCCCAAGATAATAGTCATAACATTCCTTTCCAATAAATGTGTTACTATTTATCAATACTAATGTTTATAATTCATTTATGTAGAATATCAGGGTCCAAAGAAAAAAGGAATTTTACAAGGTATGTTGATAAACTACACAAACACATACACTGAAATATAAGTCACTTCTCAAAGTGCCTGTGTCCAGTGGAAAGAAGGGACAATAGAGGGAACGGCAGGCCATCCCAATTAGAAAGCCCAATTTTTAACTGTCTACTGATGTGTTTTCTAGCATCAGGACATTCTCAGGGTAATGAATGAGCCACTGGGAAAGAGGAAGCATAAGGTTCCCATAAATCCACATGAGACCAGCAAAAATTTGCCTCCCAAACGAACATAGAAAATAAGTTAGTAGATTTGTCTACCTCAAACATATGGAAAGAAGACAGAATAATAAATACCCTTGTGATGGGATAAAGAGTATGGTACACATTACAGCAGAAATGATTAGGGAACTTGAAGATACAGAAATCTAAATTAGTGAATTTGTAAACACAGCAAAAGAAAGAAGCAGAGAAATGAGAATGAAGATAAGAAACAAAGTTACACTGGGTATCACTCCCATTAACCCTAAAGAAATCCTTTAAACATTTTTACAGGTCAGATCTGATAGGGATAAACGCTTAAGCACATTCAATACAAGTTCAAAAATGAACCACAATAGAATGAACTGAAAACAGAAACAGATATATGCACAAGAGAAGCTGAATAACATTTAGAAAATCAGGATGTAAAGGACTCTAACAACTTTTTTAAATAAATGGGTCAACCTTTTCAATACCAGCGTGACTGTATGATCATATGCCAGTAAGGAGAGTAGACTTTCCTCTGCCACATCTTTCCAAATGCATACAAAATATTTCAAGTACACATAGAAAAGTTTTTGGAAAAACAGCAATCTCCAAAGAATATATAAAAGAGGAACGACCTGAATAGCACCTCTATGTTCCTCTAACCCTGTGATGACAAGCCATGGCCCCTCCTCCTTCCCACGCTCTGCAAAGAAGCCACTCCCCTTCCCTCTTCCAGCCAATCTGTTGAACATAGCCACTTTCAGGGAAGGTGCTAAGGGTATAAAAGTTGGAAAACCATGAGGTTGGTCTCTCTCCTCTTTGTAAGGCTGTCCAGAACAACAGGATTTATGGCTGGGTGTGGAATTTCGAACACAGCCATAATGGGAGGGGTCCCCACTTGTCTGTAAGTAAACCCTCACCCCAAGCTCAGTTAGCAAGCCCAATAAACTTATTCATCAAACTTTTCTTGGGACTGTTGCAAGGACCATGGAAGGAGAGGACTGGATGCAACATCTGCCTCCCACTTGTGAATTTGACTTACAATTGGCATAGCTGACACAATATGACAAAACAGAATGAGTTTAGGAAGAGTGGTGATGATATCCCTGATATGGGGAAAGAGACCAACAACCGAAGTAAAGTGAGGTGAGGGGAGAGTGTGAGCTAAGGAAATGTTAACGTGATGGGACATTCCCACAGGTTTGGTGGGGGTGGCAGCAGTGGCATGGTTAATGCAGTGAACATTGATATAGGTAACTAGGGTGAGGCCTTCTAAACAGTCAAGGTCGATGGGATAGATCCCAGGGTGGCAGCCATCTTGTAGATGGTATGGGGTAGCACAACTTATCGACAGCGCGGGCCACCACATGAGTATGGAGAGGCCCTGAAAGCAGCAGCAGGTCTGGAACAGATTGTGCAATCTCTGGGAGTGGCACACCAGGGACAGAAATGTCAAAACAAACAGCTGCAGAGGCCGCTTGGCAGCTGCTATTATTAATAAGAAATCTGTCCCAGGCAGAGGCCTTAGCCCAAGGGAAACTGAAGGTGTTAGAGAGGAATTAGGAGAGAGGGATATGAGGCTGGCCTCTTCTGTACTGGCCTCTGACCTTACCAATGAATTAGGTAAGAGAGAAAAGAAGATGGAGGTGTTGGCATGCTATGTTTTTAGTCAAGGAAGTCAAAAGAGGGAAAAACTAACCAGATCAGAATGATATTAAAAGGCCCATGCTGGGATCCTAAAACCTGGAACCCCTGGGAAGAGTCAGGTAGTGAGGAAGAAGGAAATGACCTAGAGATAGTGGGAGATGCTCTTTGGGTCCAACCTTTAATTCAAAGAAAGGGAAAATCCATGGTCCAACATGCCGTTGGAGGTCTTAACAATAGCCTGGTGCAGACCATGGTAATCAGAGAATACTCAGCACCAGAACTGTTAGAACTGGGAAAGAAATTTAAACAAGCTATGAATGAGTCTGTGGCCACCTGTTTTCTGAGGCTATGGAATATGGTGACAGATGGAATCATTTTAAGTTCTACAGAAGCAGAGAAGTTAAGCAACATAATTACTCATCCTTCTTTGAGACAATGACTTCACAATATAAGACAACATGAGGGAAACCACTCCATGATGGACTGGCTCACAGGAGCCATTTGGGATACATGGGTATCTTCAGCTGAGATTCCCATGAACATTAGAGACTGAAAAACCATTGAGGAAGGACAGGTTCTGTTGAGGGAACTGGACATGAGGGAAGATGTATTTGATGCCCAGTTCTCAGGCCCAGATAGGACTGTGTTTATAGGATACTTAAGAATGAAACTGATTCAGCAAGGCCTGTGAGACTGGTATGGATCTTTGGTGGCAGTGTTATGCCTCATGGTCGATGTGACCTGTATGACGCTGGTGAGGCACTGGTGGATTTAAATGGTTTAAACCAACATGTAAACAGAGTTCAAAAGTTGCTAAAGTGAATAGACACAAGGGAAAAGGGCCAGAACTCAGCAAAGGGGCCCATCCGTGTCTCCCAA